AATGATTAATAGAGACTGTATTTGATTGGCAGAAGGTTTTGCGAATTTGTCCAATAATAATTTCATTGTTAATAGGTATGAGTACCCAAGGTTTGGAGGATTTACTTATAAGGTCAGTTTGGAAAGCAAATAGGTTGTGCCCAGTAGGTTGACAAGAAAGTATAATAGTGCGATTAGGTATATGTGATTAAAAAAATATTTATAAACTAAAGACTATATAAAATATTATTATATTAAATAAATAAATATAATATAATATAATCTTTTTAAATTTATATATATTTAATATAAAAATATTATATATAATATTAATATAATTCTAATTATATTCTTGGAAAAATATTAAACTCATAAGAATTTTGTTTAAGAAATAAAATATTAAAAATAGTATTTGGATATAAACTATTTCTTTTATCTGTAATTATATTATCTGCAATTAAAAATACTCTTTCAGAAGGTACTGAAGTTGCAGAAATACTTAAATAAATTCTTGCTAATTTTGCTAAATAAGGGAATGCTGCAGATTTAGACTTCCACCAATCTAATAAATTTAGCTCTTGATTATATGAAATATGTAGTAATTTAAGATATGTATTAAGTTCAAAATTATAGTTAGATGTTGATAAAATAGTTTCATTATTTTCTTCAAAAAATTCTGATAATATTGTACTATTTTTAGGAATTAAATTTTCAGAATCCTCAATAATATTTTCTAATCTTTCAAATTCTAATATTTTAGCTTTTATAAATTCTATAATTGAATTAGCTTTTTTAGATTCAATAAATCTTAAAGATTTGAATCTAGGATCTAAAAAAGCAGCAATACTATTAGTATCTTCTTAATTATTCTATTTTTCATTCATTGAATTATGTATTGCTGAATATAATAATTTTGCTTGAGTAGTAGTAATAGAATTTTTTACTAATTCTAAATATTTAAATAGTTGATATATAATTGGATAAGTAAATGAAAGTGTTGGATAATAATTTTCACTAAGTAATTTAGTTGCATTTGCAAATTTTTTTAAAATTTTAATAATTTCATTTATAGTAGTCCATTCTTCTTCACTTAATAAAAGTAATTCTAATTCTTTAGCATCTTTTTCTAATTCATCTTCTAATTCTTGTTGTAATTGTTCAATTAATATTTTAAGATGTTGTAAGTGTTGTATAACATATAAAAATGAATTCCAACATGTAGAAACATCTTGAATTGGCTCTAATATATTTGAAAAAAAATACTTGTTGATTTGTATTATCTTTAGCATTACTATTATTACTTTCACTACTATTATATTCAAAACTATTTAATATTGTTGCATCTAAAATTCTATTAGATTGTTGTATTTTTCTTAAACATTCACAATATTTATCATAATTAACTATATATTTGTTCAATTTAGAAATTTTTGCCATTAATCTATTAATTTTTTCTATTCCATATTTAATTGAAATTTGAATAGTATGTGTAACACATCTTAAATGTTGAATATTTTCAAACTTTTTTATTGTAGCAACCATATTAGCTGCATTGTCTGTAACTCCAACAATAAATTTATCTTCTATTTTAAATTTTTCAAATATAGATTTCAATTTTTGAAAAATATTTAATGCAGTATAAGGATAAGAATGTTTTTCTAATGATAATAATACTTGATGTAATTTAAAATCTGGAAATATCCAATAAATAGTAACTCCAATATATGGTTTATGATTAGAGATCCACTCATCAGTAGTAAAACTTGCTGAAATTATTGTTGAATTAAAAAGTTGTTTTAATTTATCTTTACTATGTTGAACTGCTTTAAAAATTATATTTTTAATCAACCTAATAGCTGGAATTTGATAATTGGAATATAGATTGTTAATTAATTTTCTAAATTTTTTATTTTTTATAACTGAAAATGCTTGCATGTCATCAATAATCCAATCTACTAAATCAAAAGTTATATCTTCTTGTCTACTGGGTTGAATTATTAATGGTGCACTTTGTGATTTAGAATACTCATTAATTTGATAAACTGTTAATAAATGTTGTATCATATTTCTAGTTGCAGTATTTAATTCGAATGAAGCTGGTTTAGTTAAATTAAAAGATAAGTTTTCTTTACATACTTCACAATTAATAGATTCTTTTTCAATTTTCATATAATTCCATATCCAACTTTTGTCTAGTTTTCTGAGCTTTTTTGAAGTAGTTTTATATTTAATTTGAGAAATTGAAGCTTTTGAATTTTGTATAATAATATTATTATTATTTAAATTAAAAATATCATCAAAAACCTCATTGGCACTATAAAAATAATCAAAGTAATTATCATGTACTTGTTATCAGTTATGTTGTAGACGATGACTGATTATCATTGGGATATAATGTAGAGCCCATACTGTGAAGTGGCATGGGCTTAGCATTATAAATTCCAACAATAATCAGATTTATCATTTGCAATTTAACTGATAACATAGTTATCTGATACTTCTGATGTAAGCACTGACCTTTTTCATATATATATATGATCACTTTCTAATCATTGTTTACATTTTCGCTCACTTTCTTTTTCAAAATTCTATCTCACATTTAACAGAACTGGAATTCGTATTGTATAAAATATATATATATATATATATATTATAAATACTTTTTAATCACATACTTTGTTTACTTTCTTCATTGAACTCTTTCCTATACTTATAAAAAACTGAACTTGCATTGTATTAAAAAAAAAAATGAATTTTAATTTGGCTTCGCAACTTTCAATGCAAGATAAAATAAACCAATTACAAGATGTATCGCTTGCAATAAATACTGAAAAAAATATTACAAAGTGAATTAGAATACTAAACCGATTTAATAAAGTTGTAGTAAAACTCAAACTATTGAATTAATCAATAATATTGGCGAACTTGAAACCTACTTATGTCAATTCATAACATGGTTAAAGAAAAAGGATAGTTCTGATTATAAGGTGGAGTCAGTTCACAATTGTTATAGTGCTATTAACTAATATCTCAAAGAACACAGTGTTATTCTATCGATAAAAATTTGGGATCGTTATAAATTTCTCTGTGCTCTTTGTACGCTGGATAAAAAAATGAAATTTTACAAAATAAAGGACTTAGTGATCCAAAAAAATCAGATGGATTGACTTTTGAAGAAATTGAACAGATACTTACTCACCCATGCATAAATGTCAATTCAAATGAATCTCTATGTCATTGTGTCTTCTTTTGGTTGTGCTTATTATGTGAATTACAAGGTGGTGATGCATATCATATTAATAGGAATGATCTTTAACATCATCGTGATAGTGGATTGGAACTTATTCTAAATAAGGAAAAGAATAATCAGAGAGGAGCTTTTTATCAAAACAAGCATAGAAAAACTAATTCATAGCATATTCCCATACCTTCCAACTCACCTAACAATCAATATACCCTGGTTAAAGATATTCTCCTATATTTATCTAAACTACCCGATTCAACTTTATTGAAGGATTCATTGTTTCATAAAATCTGTAAAAGGCAACAAGGTAAATACATATGCATACATAATTATTTAACTATATATGTATAATGATAATTTTTTTAATACTAGATTTAAGAAAGGGTCGCTGGTTTAAGAGTAACTGGATGGTTTATGCAAAACTTAAAAAAATATTAAATGATATTGCAAAGAATACTGGAATCAATCTTGATAACAACTAGTTAATTACTAATTACTCTTGTCATTATACAGCAATTCAACTTTTAAAGAATAATGGAGTTCCTGAATCAGAGCTTCAAGTATTCTCTGGATATCGATCCTGTGAAAGTTTAGCAGATTACTGCAAAACTGTGATGATCAACTTTTAATAAATACAGCAATATTAATTCCATATTTGCCACAAGAATTAGACTTGGATAAATATAACTATGACAATTTTTATAGTGGGCACTCAGATGAAGAATTGGATTCTGATAATACACATTATGGTAAAAATTTTGCTCAATAGAAATTTTTTATTAGTAAGATTTTAAGAATTTAATTTTTTTTTTTTGCATATATAAATAAAGGTTCAATTCAATCAAATTCTACAACTCAAAAAATTCAAGCACCAAATTTAACTGAAACTCAATCATCAGCTACAAATATTCAATCTTCAAATATAACTGAAGAAATTTTATTATTAACTCAATCTCAAAATGATACAATCGTATATTCTGATTTTACTGCAAAAGAAATTAAAAAATATATACAAAAATTTTTATTTGCATAACTTTTTTTTTTATTCTTGCTTAAACTACTATCAATTTTTTTTACTTTTATGCACATATATGGGCCGTCAAAAGTAGAAACCACCGAATTTGACAGATGATCAATTTTGAAATAATTTGAAAAAACAATTTAG